TTCTTTTCTTTAAAATATATTTCACATCCAAGGATTGAATTATCACAATATTTAAGGGAAAGCATTGAGTCTGAGGGAAACAGCCTGGTGGTTGAGGCAGGGAGAACTGATGCTAACTCTGTTTCTAGAATTAAAAGAATTCTAAATATCTTCAGAGAGCCTCACCCAGTTCCTAAATGATGGACTAGAAGATGAAAACATCACTGAGGTTCCACCCCACCCCAGAAAGAATGGCTGCTATCAAGAAATCAACCCATAACAAATGCTGGCAGCGCTGTGGGGAAAGAGGAACCCTTCTCCACTGCTGGTGGGAGTGCAGACTGGTGCAACCACTGTGGAAATCAGTACGGAGATACCTCAAAGAACTAGGACTAGAGGTCCCATTTGACCCCGCTATTCCCCTGCTGGGTATTTTCCTGAAAGAATTAAAAGAATCATACCACAGTGATATATGTGCACCCATGTTCATAGCGACACAGTTTGTAATAGTGAAAGCTTGGAAACAGCCTAAGTGCCCATCAACTGGAAACTGGAGAAAGAAGATGTGGTTTTTTTATAAAATGGAGTACTACTCAGCCATAAAGAACAGGAAGGGCCGGGGATTTAGCTCAGTGGTGCTGCTGCCTGCCTCATAAAGAACGGGAAACTAGAGACATTTATAGCTAAATGGATGCATATTGAGGCCATACTCTTAAGTGAAATAAATAGGACACACATGTAAATACCGAATAATTTTTCTAGTGTAAGAAACTGAAAGTGTTAAGGATTAAAATGATTAAAGTGAATAATTGATAATTTGAAATAGGGAGAAAATGTCCAAAGGGGTAGGGGTGGTGGGAGGGGAAGGGGAAAGGAAAGGAGGGAAAGGAAAAATTATGAGAAAAGAAAAGAAAATGGAAATGAAGTTTATGTAAATAGGGAAGGGTAGGTGGAGGGGCTGAAGGGTGCACAGGTAATGGGGAAAAAAATAACCAAGATACATCATGTACAGGTACAAGCACCCAATGATAAATGTAAACGTATACCTAAAATGCACCAATAAAAGAATTTTAAAAAAAAATGATGGACTAGATGTAGACTGGGCGGAAGACCATGCTGCTGGGAAGTAAAACAGAAAGTTGATCTAGAAAATAGTTCCAATTTCTTCTGAGAGTTCCAACTTAGATAAAATATCAGCTTTTCCTTGTTAGTACTGCTGTGTTTATGAGCACATAAATCTTCAGAGTAAAAGGTTACTTACACCTAATGCTCACCAGCACAAATGTGCCCACCCCCTAGAACAGCAGTGGTGAACCTTTTAGGTACAAACAGCCCTACAACATACTGGGCTGAAGTTTTATAACTAAGGATAAAGTAAAAGTATCCTCAAAGATTGCAGGAAGGAATAAAAAGGTACCTGCAGCAAAGTTGGAGTGAGACTTCAAAATTGGTACTCAGCTTCTCACTAGGAGTAAAGAATGCTATTAAGACAATAGACCAATTCTGTCCAGGTTTAAGGACAAGAACAAGGCATTTCCAAACTTGCCATACTCTTCAAATCATGCTGCTTTTATGAAGATTTCGCAGACTGTATTATAACTAAGTAATGTAGGTAGAACTTGTAGTGGCTGATATTCTTCATGAATAGAACATAATTATAAAAGTACAGTAAGCATTAAATCCTGATGACTGAGACCTTTTCTCAAAGCTCTTTTTGAAAACTACAGTTTAAGTGGCCTATGTTTATATTTCCTTCTCTGCTTAGTTCTCTAGTGTTTATTAATCATTGTGTGGTAATGTGCCAGTCACTTCCCATCTTTCTAAAGTGAAAGCTGAAGGCCTTAAAATAGCCTACAAGGTCTTCCACAGTCGGACTACCTGCTGCCTTTCCTGGCTCATCCTACCCTTCCCCCTGTCTCCACTCTGCTGACAGACAGTGGCTTCATCGTGTTCTCTTGACCCTGCCGAGCATTCTGTGGTTTTGGAAGGTATGTACTGAGTGGTCGGCCTCCATCAGCCACGTCCCAGAGAGCTCTCCCACTCCATGTAGACATCTACGGAAGGCATGTCTTCTCAGCGGAGCGTTTCCTGAACACATTGTGCATCTTTCCTACATTGTTTTGCCCTTGGCACTTAATGACTATGTGTATATTATCTATGCACTTGTTTAGCCTTCATGAAAAGAATGTTGGTCTTTGATATCTGATTATCTCTGGAAAGTGAAACTACATTGAGAGAAGAGAAATTTTAAATTTTTTGTCTCTGGTTCTTAGGGTTTTAATTTAGGGAAGAGTCAAGTTGCAAAAATTCTTTTTTAAAAAATTTGTTCAAAACTTTACCCTTTTTTAGTATATGGTTGAATGACTTTGAAAAAGGAAGTCATATAACTATCAAAATTTAAGAATAGAATAAATAATTCTATCACCACACAGAATTTCCTCATCCTTATAGTTCACCCTCTCCGAGCCCATAGTAACCATTGATCTATTATCCCATCCTTTTAACCTGTGCCTTTTCTTTAATGTGGATTTCTCATAGGCTGAGTATAATTGAGTCTTAATTCTTATCAAATCTAACAATCATTGTCTTTTAATTGGTGAATTTAGATTACTTTCATTTAATATAATTGATGCATTGAATTAAAATCTGTTAATTTTCTATTTGTTATTTTCCTTCTGCCTACATTGGATTAAGTATTTTTATAATAACATCTTATTTCTATTAGTGACTCACTACAGCCCTTTTAAAAATTATTATTATTATTATTTTTTTTTTTTTTGGTACCGGAGATTGAACTCGGGTCCTTGCGCTTGTGCAGCAGGCGGCGAAACCACGGAGCTAAATCCCCGGCCCTTAAAAATTATTTTTAATGGTTACCTGCAGATACTTGTTTAAACATCTGTACCAAAATGTTAATATTGGCAGTTTGGTGGGTTGAGTTTGAAGGAGTCTTCCCTTACTTTTCTGTATCTTATTCCTTTTTTCTGTATATTATTCTTTTTTTAATATCTCATTGTTTAATAGTTTTTAAAATAAGGTATAATTTAAAACATAAAATTGACCCTTTAAAAATTCAGTGGTGTTTAATAAATTCACAATTTTGTGCAACCATCATCTTGCTCTAATTCCATCAGCCCTGTGATCCATGAGCAGTCACTTCCCATTCTGCTCCCAGCCTCTGGCTACCACTAATTTATTTTCTTTCTTTTTTTTTTTAAATTCTTTTATTGGTACATTTTAGGTATACAATACATGTACATTTATTGAACATCATGTATCTTGGTTCTTATTTTTTCCCCCATTGCCTTAACTTTACACGAATGATTTTTTTTAATTAAAATGCTATGGGAAGGAACTGAGAGAGAGTTGGCAAGAGAATGTACAAATGGGCGTGTGTGTGGAGGTGACTCCAAGGGCAGACAAGAGGGTGAGAGGCTTGGTGAAAGCACAAATTTCTGGAGGTTGGTAAGAGCTGGTGTGGAGGAGAAGCTGAGGCCTGTGTACCCTAAATGTGTTGCACCTGTTTTCAGGCGGTAGCTGTTTTATTCTGAGCTGAATAAATGGTTTTTGTTGACTTGGTCCCGCCATACCTCAATTCCTGGGAGAATAAATACTGCTATTAAAGTGGCCTTTAGGCAGCTGTGTGATTTTTTTTTTTTTTGGTACACAATCAACTTCACAACATCAATATATTTCTATATTGGAGATTACTTTTGGGGTTACTGTTCTTCATCTGGATCTCGAGACCGTTTCCGGGAATTCAACGAACCTTCTGTTTGCAATGAACATGCAGTGGGGCAACAGCATCTCTAAATCCCTGAGGTGTGATTTGAAACAGTACTGTGCATTCTTTCTGGCTTGGTGATTTGTACCATGTTGCCAACAGCTAATCTGTGATGATTTGCAAGGCTGATCATTTGCTGTGCTAGGCCATTTAGTAATCGAGTACGGAGGGATAGGTCATCAAAGTCATGACGAGAAGGAAAAGCAGTGCCATCTACTATCACTAATTGAACCTTTGATCTGAAAGGAAATCAGGAAGGAGATAAACTTGTTCTAGTAGCTCTGTGTAATCATGACAACAAAAATAATAAATATGGGAAAGAATATTTTCAAGAGTGAAATCCTCCAAAGCTTTTTGGTGTTCTTCATGTGTGTTCCTGCTATAAGCTGAAGGTGTTGAATGCAGGCAGTAGCAAGGTCTACCACTCTCTCAACCATAAAACTTCCCTCTGTATCAGTGAAAACAGCTTCACCTGCCACTCCTCCAAAACATTCTGGTATCTGCACATCTACTGCCAACTGCATGCATAATTGTGTTTTTCCAGCACCTGGTGCACCACAAATTTCTGTTGTTTTCATTAAGGGTACGCCACCCCCAAGACTATTATCTAGTGCTGAACAGAAGGTAACTGTGAAGCCTTGGGTATGCTCCTGCTCAAGAAGGTCCAGGGCTGTACCCTTTCTGCATGAAGTATCAGATGCATTATCATTTCTTGGTTTATTTGTGAGACATTTTCTTACAATTTGCAGAGTTTCTAAGACTTCCTCTTTAGATATCCCAACTTCTTTGCTGAGTTTGGAGGGTTTCGCCTCTAGGAGTTCCTCAGCGCTCTGGAAACCTGCAGACACCAGCTTCACCTGCACTGCTGGAGACAGCGAGAAACTCACTAAGTCCGGCTGCATTTCAAACACAGCTTGCGCAGACCCAAAGCCATTAAAACCCTAGGGGTCCAACCCTTCAAGCCCGCGCCAGCTGTGTGATTCTTTATCACATCAGTTCTGTCCTTTTTCCCCCCTATGGGGTTTGTGTGTGTGTGTGTGTTATCAATTCTTTTCTAATCAGAATTGACTAATCAGATTTGTACAAGGAGTTTTAGAAAATGTATAATTTCCATTTTCTCTGGAGGAGGTGCAATAAAAATATTATACTTTGAATGTTTTCACTAGGTTTCATTTTACTTCTTAAAACAGCTTTTATGTCTGCTTTGTAATTGATCTTTTACCTTTTTCTTTTGTAGCTATTCAAAGGTCTTGTGCATAGCGTTTGAAGTCCTCCAGGGTTTGCAGTATATGAATAAACACGGCATAGTACACCGGGCTCTGTCTCCTCACAACATCCTGCTGGATCGAAAGGTAATTGTCAAATATGTGCTATCATAGATATTTGTATGCTGCTTGAATTGAAAGCTGTTGAAGTTGGGCCCATTCAGTCAGACCATCAAGTAACATTTTTGAGAATATTTATAGTGAAAAAACTCTGAAAGTGATATTTTTAATTGTTGCAGAACAAGCTTTAAATTACTTAAATCTGTCTTTGACATGTATAATTCTTTTTTATCCCAAAATTCATTTTCTAACTTCATGTTTTATTTTCCTTTTCTTTTTTTCTAAATAATACATGGAGCTTTCCAGCGTACTCCTCTGAGTTTTTAAGAAAGCTGTTCTGGTCATCTGTGTGAGAATGTCATCATTCTTATAAGTGCAGCCGCATTGAGTTTTCCTGTTACTCTTCTTCTTCCTTATTTCCTGTTCCATTTACCTGTGTACAGCTGTTCATCACTATCTCCCTTCTGTAGATTGCTGTTTCTCTAGTTCAGACTTTTTTGTGTGGTGCTTTTTTTTTTTGGTACTGGGGATTGAATTCAAGTCCTTGCGCTTGCGCAGCAGGTGGTGAAACCACTGAGCTAAATCCCCAGCCCTAGTTCAGACTTTTTTGAGGATCCAAAAGTTAGTAAGCCCTCCTTAGAGAATTATGCATATGAAAAGGTACATTGTCAGTAATAATCATAATTGTATTTTTATAAGCATATTAAAAATGGCTCTGAGGACTTTTTTCCCATAGAACTATCTTCAATTTAACTGTTCTCTGAAACTTCTAAATTTTAACAACCCTATGATATTAAAATCAAAATGATATGCATTAATTTCAGATTTATGACAGTTAAGTATCATTGCCCCAACCAACCTAAATTGTTTTAGAATATAAATGTTTTGTAATACTGGGAATTTTAAAATTCTTGTTAAAAAGACAAATGAATTTTAAAATCAAATTTTTAAAAATCAGAACATCTAAAAGTAGAAAGCCAGGAGATCCATTAAATCTATCCTTTTTTGTAGGGCCTCACATTTTTTATAATTGTTGTTATTCTCAAACTATATTAACAATTATTGGAAATCTGACATATTTACCAGAATCTTGATGATTTTTGAGCTGAACTTTTCAGGTTAAGAATTCCCATGTCACAGTTAAATTACAACATGAATGGACTTTCATCTCCCTGAAAAGCAATCCTCTGTAAAAATTACTACAAAACATTTTAACCAAGATTTCAATACAAATGATAGCATTTTGCCCTTTTTCCTTTGTCAAAAGACCTAGATAATACAAACAGCAAAAATGTTAAAATGCGATTTGACATTTTAATATATACATACACATATGTATATACATCCATACTTGTAAACCCATGAATATGGACATACAGAATGAGTGTAAAATAGACTAAACATTGGCAGATATTTTTGGATAAAATTATGGTATTTTATAAAATCTTATATAGTAATATTTTGATAAAATAGTTATATATAATGCTTGTCTTATAAAATATAATTTTCCTTGCTAGTTATATTAAAATATCTCACAGTGATTTTTGCCTTTATTATCGTAGGGGCATATTAAATTAGCTAAATTTGGACTTTATCACATGACAGCTTATGGTGATGATGTTGATTTCCCAATAGGGTAAGTTATGTTTTCCTCCATTTTGAGTTGTTTTAAAATTCATGATCTTTTTTTTGGTACCGGGGATCGAACTCGGGACCTTGTGCTTGCAAGGCAGGCACTGGAACCACTGAGCTAAATCCCCGGCCCCAAAATTCATGATCTTTGATAAAATATTTATTTTGTTATTATTTTGATAGTGTGTTTTGACATGAAAGCAACTTTTCCTGATTAATACATTTTATTTTTTTCATACGCTTGTTAAAAAGTAGACAAGAGTTTTTCCCAGTGCTCCGAAGATCTCTGTTGTTAAACTTTCACTGATCTGGCAAAAAGGATAACAGATGATTGATTACCACTTCCTAATTACATATATATATTATTATATGATTACCACTTCCTAATTATGATTCACTCAGAATTGAATGAGCTTAATGTGAGAAGACTAACCAGAGTCTTAATTAGTGATAGCATGCGCACTGAGAGACGGAAACAGCACTCTGGCATTACTTTCAGTGTAATGTTTTACGCTTAATTCCTCATTCGCATGCTCTGACTGCATATTAGAATTCGAGTTGAGTCACTCTGGATGGCAGATGAAATGGGACAGGTCTCATATGTGGACATCTGTGTTGAAAGACCTTCATTTCTTCCCTTGTGATGTGGAGTTCCTGGTTTTTGCTGTCCTCCAAGAAGGAACAGAAGCTCATTTCATGCTGTACTCAGGTGGATGCTTTTGACAGACTTTGGAATTGTATTGATCATGCAGCTGCTTTTAAACATTTTTGTAACAATTATTTTCCTTTTTGAATATATAAGTTTTGATTGTTTTAGATATATAGAAATTAACAAATAGAACAAAGAATTCCTGTATTTCCTTTTAGATTCCCTCAGTATTACCTATATTTGCATTACCTCTCTTTTACCCTGTGCCCTATGTATGTGTATTATACTTTTTTGGAATTGTTTAAGAGGCATCAGCCCAGCCAGTGGCTTTTTATTCCTAAATACTATGCTCCATTTTATATGTCCTAAAATAAGGACTTTTCTTTTATGACCTCAGGACAGTGGTCAACATGAGGATATTACAACAGTGCAATATTACTGTCCAACCTAAAGACCTTAATCACATTTTTACAATTGTAGTGTGGTGATTTTTAAATAGTATTCATTTGTATTTGCTCTTAGGGTTTTCTAAAATAAGTTCCATCCGCCCATAACAGAATTGTGATATGTAGTCATGGAGTGTTTCTGAAGCAGAAAACTACTTAATGTATTTAGGGTTTTTTAATCATATGTAAATTTCCCTTTCATCATTCTAACTTAGATTATAGATTTCTTATCTAAAATTTTCATTAATGAAGATGTAGGTAATAATCTTAGATTTTATTCAGTGAAGATACATTTATCGAACACCTTCTCTTTTGCCTGTTGGATATACCTGACGGTTAAGTGTGTTCTTGTCCTCAAGAAGTTTCTTGTTCAGTGGACAAGCTTTTGGTTTTAGAATTCATTTTTTTTTTTTTTTTTGGTACCAGGGATTGAACTTGGAGTACCAGGGATTGAACTTGGAACCTTGAGCTTGCGAGGCAGGCAGCGGCACCACTGAGCTAAATCCCCGGCCTTAAGCTTTTGGTTTTGATTGCCCACTTATTACAGTATGTAAATTCATAATCCTGTAGTTTTACACATCAAAAACTTTTGGCATAGGAAACAAACCATTTTTTCATTACCATCAAAATATTTGTGAAGATCATCAATGGTTTCTACTTAAAAAACCCCTTTGCGTAGAGCAAGTTCTTAGGCACGCTCTAACTTCGTCACATGTTACAGTTGCTTTCTGACCGGACTTTCAAGGAGCTGCAGTAAATGCAGTTACTACTGCGTCTGCATTTTGTTTAAATCAATTTGTGTAAGCATAAAGTCCAAAAATACAACACAAAGAAAAATTACTTTAAGGTGCTTTGAATTTTAGTGATGAGTAAAAATAATCATTAAAACATTTAATTATTGAAACATTAAACATTTCAGCATTTTGAAGGACTATGTTTGAATTTAAAGTGCTTAGATAGGATTGGTTCAAGTTAGCATGTTGTCTGACTTGCTGCAAAGCTTCAGACCCAAAGGATCTTAGCAGAAATTATCAAGGAGCAAAATGTGAAACATTAGCCAGGAAAAATAAGTGATCAAACAGCTAAGGCATGAAAGAAAATATTTATAGTAGAAGAAGCTTGCAGTTGATTCAAAAGACAAATATTACAGAACAATAAGTAAAGTGTTACCATCTGTTTCAAAGTACTGTAAAGCATTAGAGATCGGGCCTGCGTCCGGCTCGGCTAGTCGCTTAGTACCTCAGTAACACAGCAGAGGATGAAAGTCGCTGTTGACCTCAGTGCCCCACTCCCAGCGTGGTCCTGGAAACACCTTGGAGTGCGGGAATCTGTGCTTAGGAAGAGAACCGTGTTGAGAGCAGATGGCCTACACTGAAGAACAGTTTCAGGACTTAATTGTTTTTATCTTCGATTAAAAGGAAGACTAGAGTCTTTGGAGCAAGTGTTTCCTCGGCTTCTGTTAGAAGGTTTGGATATTGCAAGTTACCTGTAGTTTTGCTTGGCTTTTGGCAATCTATACAGTCATTTCAGGTTAGATGTGCTCGAAATCAGAAGTAGAAATGAATAGTTTGTCTCCTAAGTATATTATGTTAACAATAAAAGGAAAATATTGTGTTTGTGCCCCAGGTTCCTTTATATAAAACATCCTTATGAATTCATTAATATTTAGAGCAGTTTAGTGTGGTTGGTATTATTCTTACATTGCAGATGAAAGCAAGATCACATATTATGAAATTAAAAGTCTTATCACATTTAGTGGGTTTTTTTCTATTATTTAGCATATATTTCTAGAGATTTCACACGTAAACTTAGAAAGCAGTGTGATCATCTTAGGCAGTTAGAGACCAGGGCCCAAACTGCAACCGAAAATGCACTTATTTATCACAAAGTGTCAGCACTGCAATTAAACCTGAATAGTGAGTTTTTACTTTAGAAAAGAATAACTCATTAACATTCTTTTGTCTTGAAAGAAAAACAGCATGCATGGCATAGGTTTGCCACCACTGCCTTAGGGTGAAATATATCCGATTTGTACATGAGCAGATTTTAAAGAGATACCCAAAGCATCATTGTTGCATTGAAATGAGAAACCCAAAGGGTAAACAAGGAACATAGTGGAGGACAGATATTGGGAAGAAGGGAGAACTTGTTCAAATGGGAAGGGGGATCAAGGAGGGAGGAGGAAAAAGGGGTAAAAAGAAAAAGAATTGTAGAAAAAAATGGAAACAGCTTTCTAAATGGGGAGGGGAAGAAGGGTTGAAGGGAGGGAATGGGGAAAAAAATCAAGGTATATTATATACAGATACAAATTCTCTGTAATGAATATGATCAGTGTGCATGACAAATATGTATTAATAAGGCATATAAAGTTTAAAAAAATAAAACTTGTTTCTATGTAAAAAAAAATCTTTAATTTACCCTTTTGAATTTAAGATTCAAGTTGTATTCCTCGACTTACAAGGGAATGACTGGCATTAGACGTGTAAGTCAGGCATGCTGGCAAGATAGTGTGAGGAAGCAGCTGAAGAAAAAGGGAGAGAAATGGAAGAACATTTGAGTTCCTGCTGTAAATGCAGAACATAGAGGTCACGCTTGTTTAATCGCTTTTTTGGAGTAGTGAGGTTTGAATCCAGGGAACATTGAGCCTACATCCCACCCCTTTTGACTTTTTTTTCTTTTTTAAATTTTGACTCAGGGTCTTACTGGCCTCAAACTTGAAATCCTCCTGCCTCAGCCTCACAAGTAGCTGGGACTATCGGTGTGCACCCCTCTGCCTGGCACTTAATACATTTTGATTAGGGCCCGGGATTTAGCTCAGAGGTTTCGCCACCTGCTGTGCAAGTGCAAGGACCTGAGTTCGATCCCCGGTACCAAAAAAAAAAATACATTTTGATTACAGTTATTGGAGGATGACATAATTTGATCTAATTAAATTGAAAATCCAGATATTGGTGCCCATGATTCAAACTGACAATAAATGAAAAGCATACACGTACATAAGACGTAGAGTTCTACACATTTCTCTTTTGTCTTCTGAAGCTGTTTCTTGTCATTTCATTTTAAGGTAGTGGGATACAAATTTACCAACGGCCAATGGGTCTAATTTGTATTTATCATCTGCTTTTTGTAAGCTAGTACTAGCATTTTGGATAGGAAATGTTCTTTTAAAAGTGCATGCACTCACATCGCATGTGCAGTGCTGGGTTTTAGTTGTTGCAGGAAGTGTGTGCTCTTTGTAATCCCTGAGGGGAAGGAGACACTAGGAGAAAGCCCCCATGCAGGTTCCTCAAGACTCCTGTCTTTTTCTCTTCTGATCCAGCTGTATGTCCTCCGAGTGTCACTGTAAGAAGTCTTAGCTAAGAAGATACATGCTGAGTTCCGTGAGTCCTAGGGAATCTCTAAACAGAGTGTGAGGGTGGTCTTGGGGACTGCAGCATAACCTGCTGGAGAAATGGACAGAAGACTTGGACAGGAACATCACACAGTAGGGAACCTAAAGGCCTAATAAACATGTGCCTCAATCTCATTATTTTTCAAAGAAATATAAATTGAAACTGCAGTGACATCTCGATCACATTCCTTAGATTGTCAGTATTACAGATTTTGTCGAATATCAGTGTTGATGAAGAAATAATAGAAACTCTCACACACTGTTGGTATATAGATTGATAAAACTTCTTTCAAAATATTTTGATTTAATAAAGTTGCAAGTACACATAGCCTGTGGCTTCTGAATTCCGTTCTAGAATTCTTAACTTGAGAAACATTTATGGAGATACACCATGTAAGGTATTCTGTGAAACACTGTTTATAATATAAACAATTTAAATGCCATTGATACTTAAATGTATAAAGATATATTCGTGAAATTTGATACTGTGTACTGTTTAAATGACTCATGTTAATTGAAAATTCAAAAGAATAATCAGCCTAATTGCCATGTTATATTCAGAAATGTACTTGACTAAACAGTTTACAAGAGATGATAAAAATTACTATATTTAAATTTTATGTTTATTACAGTAATAAACATATTACCTCTGACACCCCCCCAAACACTCCCCCTCTCCTTGAACACACTTATTATTCTCGCCACTTTCTGAAGCAGTTCTGGAAGTCTTTTTCATGAATCTTTATGAGGTTTGATCAAAAATATGGTGAATGCTGCTGTTAAGTGCCATCAGAAAAACATCACAGTTTGTCCTCATTCATCTTATTTGTTAGGTCTAATTTTGTATGACTTCTGGCTGTACCCCAAAAGTCAACATGAGCATGAAATGTCAGCATTTTAAGTTGATTCAAGATGTCAAGTTAGCCAAGACAGTGTAACTAAACACACATACAAAAGAAGACTTCCAGAACTGCTTCAGAAAGTGGCAGCAACAGTGGGATAATTGGGTCTGGATTAATGGCAGTGTATGTTTTGCTGTAATATCTAAAATTTAAACATTCACTTTGTCAGTCGCACCTTATATATATTTAGAGCTGTATGATAAACTGAGAAAATGGAAAGGAATTATAAACAAAAATGCCACAGGCCTTTCTTTCTGAGGGGTACAGATGGAGATGCAGTCAGAGACGCAGTGGGACCACTAGTCTAACTTGATGTTCTTCACTTAAACTCATTCTTGGTATGCATGTGCATTCTTATACCTTATGCTTACTTAATATTAATCCTTTTGTATTTATTCAGTATTAGCACAATTTTTAAAAACGTAATATTGGTGATGTGAAGAAATAAGCATTCTGTGTATTGCTTGTGAAATATAAATGGATGGAACCTCTGCAAGGGGGAACTTGATATGACATGCCAAAATTTAAAATGACATACCTTATACCATGTATTGTCACTTCTGTGAATTCATTCTGCCATCTACACATATATTTGTGAGAAACAGGATATTTATAATGTTTTTTTTAGCAATGTTTGTAATAGCAAAAGAAAGGAACTTTCAGAAACCTTTATCAAAGTGCATTAATATAATTAAATTATTGGCAGTTTTTCAAAAATGAGGGCAACTAAACTTTAACAGAATGTTCTCTAAAATACACTTTAAGGGAAAAACTATGGTATGGAGCAGTGTGTATAGGGTTCTATGTGGAGCAAAAGGGTATGTAAATAAGTTTAGTAGGGTAAAGGGAATAGAGGTTAAGAGTCATATATATGTCTGTGTACATATACGGTATATGTACACATTACGCATACACATATTAGCTTTGACATTCCTGCTACTCAGTACTGATTTGAAAGGTAAACTGGTAAAATAATAATTCAGTATTAAGAGAATATAGGTTGTAAGGAGGAAGGAAAAACTGGAAACTTAGAGGACCGCAAGAAAAGGTGATGCATTGAAAATTCCAAGGAAAATGGGAAAGCAGCTAGTGCTGCAGAGCTATTACAGTTTTAAAGTGATTTGATGTTCCAGTGTACTAACTCTGGTTGCTTGGACATAAGGTCTGCATCTGGATGGTTGGTTTATGGATCTGCCTACTAGCAGTTTTAGCTTGATTGGATAGGACTTTCACATAGGTTTGTGACACTGATAGTAAAAATGCAGCTGCTTTGTTACCCATTTTAGCTCAGAGTAATTACTGTTGTTCTAATGTATCATTATAGGTACCCATCATACTTGGCACCTGAGGTAATTGCACAAGGAATTGTCAAAACCACTGATCATGCACCAAGTGAAAAACCATTGCCTTCTGGCCCCAAATCTGATGTTTGGACTCTTGGGATCATTTTATTTGAGCTTTGTATGGTATGTATACAGAAATATGAAACTAATAAAAGATGTTTGTTGGAATAATTTGGGAGAAGGAAAGTTATTTAGTAATAAAGTGTTTTGTTGTGCAAAGGATAAAAGGCTTCATTCTTAGATTGAGTTTTAAAAATCCACGTTTTTTCTAAGTGTAAAACCATTACACTTTTATCAAGTGTAAATAGTTTTGGAAATAGTACACTAAAATTGTTACACTCTTTTTGTATGTGTCAGGTCTTTCTCCACTCTGGTATTCTTTCCTTCTGTTTCCTTATATTTCCTATAAACCCATTTTTTATGAAGCCTTCCCCAGATATCCTATGTTTTACTGAAGACTTAAGCTACTATTTAAAACCAAGACATCTAAAACACAGTGCTTTAAAACATAGGTGCTTTTCTTCCCATGTGCCAGTCCAGAGCAGGTAGGGTGGGCTCTGCCCCGGGCATCATGTAAATCCCGGCTGTCAGGATGATGGACCTGCTGTTCTCAGTCTGGCTGCCAAAGCCGCTCCTCCTCATCCTCTCTGGCTAGCGGAGAGGGCAGGTGTGAGGTAAGGAGCCTTCAAGAGGATGAGCTGAATGTTGCAAATAGGAAATACTCAGTATTCACTCTGCTTCCTGATCTCTCTGAAACACAAGCCGCTCTCCGTGACCCCTCCACCATGCCCTTCCTGCCTTGGAGCCAGCTGACCATGGACTGGAAGCACAAGCCAAAATAAAACTCTCCTCAAATTGTACCAGAGATAAGGAAGTGACACAGGCAGGAACTGATTCAGTAGCAGACATACTGCATACTAATCATGGACAAGCGTCTGGAAGAAGAGAGAGCTGGGTTTGACGTCTGCTGTGGCAGAGTATAGCTTTGTGACATATGATAGTGTGTTAGCCAGCCTTCTATTGTATCCGAGATACTGAATTTATAGAGAAAAAAAAGTTTATTTTGGCTCATGGTTAGCCTTATTGCTGGGCCTGTGGCAGGGAATATACCATGATGGAAATGCATGGTAGAGCAAACTTCTCCCCTCATGGCTGGAAGTGGGAGAGAGAGAGGAAGGGCTGAGCGACTCTTCTTCAAGGGCACACACCCTGTGAGCAGAAGGCCTCCCACTTCGGCAGACCTTAGAACTTCCATCATTTCCCAGCAGTGCCACGGTGGGGTCTAAGTCTTTAATGCAGGTGACCCACACCCCCAGGCCATGGGCTAGTACTGGTGGTGGCCTGTTAGGAACTGGGCCGTACAGCAGGAAGTGAGTGACAGGCTGGGGAGCAAAGCTCCGTCTCCCTTCACAGTTGCTCCGCTCTTCATCACCCAGCACCACCTGAGCCCCGCCTCCTGTCAGATCAGCACTGGCTCTGGGTTCTCACAGGTTGGAGCGTGAACCCTGTTGTGCACTGTATCAGCCAGGGATCGAGGTTCACGTGAATCATCCTTAAACCACCCTGCACCCATCTATGAAAACAGAGTTCCGGAAATCAGTCCCTGGTGCCAAAAGGGGTGGGTTCCTCCGCTCTAACGCAGGGGCTCTTGGCATCACTCCAAATCCACAGCAGGAAGTAATTAACTTCACTGCAGCTTCTGTAAATAATATTGGTATCTTTTATTGGAAAGTTATTGGAAAAAATAAGTGATACAATGTATATAGAGTACTTAGTACAAGTGTTCCAAAGCACGTTATCCATAAATATTTGCTTTTTTAATTGGGTTGAAGTATTTATGACGTGATGGCTTACAAGTCCTGCATTTTCTAAAGAAAAATGGTATCTTTTCTGATTGTTCACTATGCTTTAAACCATCAAACTTTTTACTGGTATGAAAATGATAAATATCATTTTTATTAAAGTCACAGCTAAACTGATACACAAATGTGAAGTATACGTAAGTATAAACGTGAAGTGGACAGCTCTTTATGAGTCATCACAGATAGTCTACACTTTATTAGGGTCTGGATATGTCTTATGTGAACAGTTCAGTTCAACAGATATTGATGAGTGTTTCCTGTGTGTGGCATCATGACAAATGCAGCAAGGGATAAACTTTGACTAAGACACATTGAGAGCTCGAAGTTAGGTTAAAATCTATAAGCTGTGAAGATAAATACGGAGGGCTGTGTGAATTTAAAGCAAGGAAAGTCTCTGCTATTGGGGCTTCATGGCATTTTAAGTGGTACTCAAGGTTTAGCCATCTAACTTAGGAATGGCAGACTAAATGTAAGCTCAAATCGTCTTCTGCCTCATCAGACTCTTGCTTTTGGTGCACTAAAACTCCTAAGCAAATAAATAGGAAGCATGCTAAAACTATTTTGCTTGGAAACACTTACCTCATCACCAAAGTGAGAACTAGTTAGAGTTTTAGGGAAAAAATTGTTATAACATGGTTTATTAGGTTATACTGTGATTTATATTATAAAATAAAGAACCTAATGGATTGGGTCATAGGAAACTGGGAAAAATGAGTGTAAAGTTGAGTAATTCTCCCCAAATTTGGCACAGAGACTAAAAATTTAAAAGGCAGTAAATTCAGATATTATAACATCTGCATTTTAAAAGTATCAGAAATAGAGAGTAAAGTCTTCAATTTGAAAAGACTTTTTTTATGGAAAAAATAAAAACATGAAAACAGCAGTAATACCTGGAAAAGAGCTGAATCCCAGCGCTCTGCTAGGCTGAGGCAAGAGGATCACGAGTTTGAGCCCAGCCTGGTAAGCTAGGGGTTTAGAGAGGCCCTGTTCCAAATTAAAAATAGGAAGAAAAGTGCTACGGAGGTAACTCAGTGAGAATGCCCTCAGTTCATTCAGTGCCCAGTACCGGGAGGGGCAGAGGGGGTGCACTCACAGGAAAACCTGGAAGCCTTATCATTTAGTGAGCGCTTATCAAAAGGCAGGAAGTTTTGTAATACCTTGCCATCTGTTATCTCAGTGGTCACAATAGTCTTGAGTTTATCTCATTTTTTCTTTTCTTCCCTTTTTTATCAGTACATGTTTGTGGTACACAAGAAATATGTAGAATTGGTACATACACATTATCACATCTTTAGGTGTTTTACTTGCCTCGCCCTAACCCTCCTTCCCACCTCCATCTCTGAGTCTCCTTCCCATATCCAAGTAGTCTCTCTTTTCGATCATGTACCTTTTATGTTGATGTTTAAATTATTCTTTGGATTTCTCATGTAAGAGGGACCATGTGATATTTGGGCTTATCTGTCTGATTTATTTCATGTAGCATTATGGTCCCAAGGTGCTTCCATTTTCCTACAAATTACTCAAATTTGTCCTTCCATGTGACAGAATAGTGATCCATTGTGTATAAATACCACAATTTCTTTATTCATCTGTTGATAGACATATAGGCGTCTTCAAAGATTTAGCTATTGGGAGCTGTGCTGCTAGAAACCTGGTTGTGCATATATCTCTGTAATATGATGTCTTTCACTCTTGGGAAGATACCCAGAAGAGGCATAGATGGGTCAAATGGAATTGCTATTTTTATTTTTTGAGGACTCTCTATACTAATTTCCATATTGGTTGTACTAGTTTGCACTCCCCCGTCAAGGTGGAAGGGTTCCCTTTTCCCACAACCTTGCCAGCATTTGTTTTGACTTCTTGATGATGCCCATTCTTTTTGGAGTGAAAGAATCTCAGTGCTGTTTTGATTTGTATTTCTCTAATGGCCAAAAATGCTGAACATTTTTTCATGTACTTATTGGCCTTTTGCCCTTCTTTTGAGAAGTGTTTATTTCAATTGCCCATTTTTTAACTGAGTGTTTTATTTTTGGGGTCTGGGTTCTTTTTTTTTGAGTTCTTTATATAATTTAGATATTAGTCATCTGCCCAAAGCATAGCTGGCAAACATTTTCTCCATTCTGTAGGTTGTCTTTGCTTATTAAATTATCTTTGCTTTACAGATTAGACACCTGAATTTCAGAAAGCCTGAACAGTCAAACTTACTTAATAGTCTTAAGTGGTTAAACAAAAATGCACCTCTTCCTCTAAAGCTACATTGTTAGCTAAAATATGCTGCTAAGCTTCAGTGTCTTTATTGATGCTGCAGAGAAGACCTTGAACCTGCTAAAGAGGGAAAAGGCGTATTGCTTATAAAGACTGAGAATGACATTACATTTCTTTTTAGCAGTGTGAATGCAAGAAAACAGCATGAAAATACCAACAAAGTTTAGAGAAATCATTTTTAATTTCAAATTCTTTAACTCATGAAATAAATATTCAAGAGAAAAAGTGAAATAAAGGATGTATAGAATTTTGACAAACACATTGAAAAGCATATGGTTAGAAACAGTAGTAATCCAAGCTTGTAGGCCTGAATAGGCAAGAGTGTGTTCCATATGCCACATCATGTTATGCGTGCACGCGTGCGTGTGTGTGAGGTCACCTTAGAAGAATAGCAAGCAGTTGGACTTTAAAAAACGGCATTGGCATCATATCCTAGGAGACTTTGAATGCAAACTTGACATATAAGATCTGAGAGGACCCTTGAAAGGTTTTTAATAAAGTAGTGGTGAAATCAAACCTGCATTTTTGAAAACTTAATGAAAGTAGTGTAAGAATTGAGGAAGAGAGGAATGGCAACTTCACTTCAGTAATCTCTCTGCCTGTAGCTCTGATCTTAAGTATGTAGGAACATTTTTTTCCCTATCTATTAAAAAATAAAAACTCTCTTTATCCACAAAAAAAACCTGAGTTATCTTCTTAAGCCTTTTTCAAATCCTAAAATATGATATAAATTTAATTAGTTTGTAACAGAAGTAATCAGTATTAGGGAAGCATTTTCCATTTTATATAATTCTCAGGACTACCTAGCGGGTATGTATGACAAATGTTGTAGTTATATAGATGAGAAAGTTGAGGCTTACAATGCTTAAGTCATTTGGTTAAGTTATATAACCATGTAGTGATGGAGGACTCCAACTGGTACACAGTTGTTCAACACGTAACTTTTGAAAATGTGCATATTTCACTCCAGACTCCATGCCAAGGAGCCTCCCAAGGAAAGCTAATAAGGAAACAAAATATGTGTATCTTAAAAATACAGCAAATACTACAGGAACACAAAGATGGCTGGCTGGCATTACTGTGGGTGGAATAAGGATGTCGTGGGATTCTGTTTCTCAATGGAGACAGACTACCTGGATCATTATACTAAGTAAGCATTACTTAGATAAAAGGCTAATACACATCTTTCTGGGGACATTGTGTTCTCTCAGTGACATAGTGCTGCTTCTGGCCTGGAATACCAGTAGACATCTAAGTGTGTGAATGTCAGTAGTGAACAGTGCTTGAGACTAAACTACAGTGTATAATAACCCTTGGACATATGAATGTTTAAGTATTATAAAACACTATAAAATATGATTTTACCAATAATTTGTAGTTGGTACAGCTGACTTTAAGAATCCAGTAAAGCCTCTAGAGATAAATGGAGATACCTGATAAGATCAATTTCAGCTATGAAAAAGGACCCCCCTTTCCCCTAGAAATCTAGATGTAAATATTAACAAGACCTATTTTCTCATTTAGGGAAGAAAATTATTTCAGAGCCTGGATATTTCTGAACGTCTGAAATTTTTGCTTACTTTGGGTAAGTGTCATACACTTGATTATCTTTCAATTTTAGGAATTGTTAGTAAGCATACACATTGAAGATGTTTCTTCTGAGACAGTGAAATGTCTCATTTTCTTCATGTTTCTAATCATTAGTGGTAAGCATTAACAGGATAGCTTAAGTTGCTTCTGAAATATTATGATATGCAAAATATTATATAGAGCTTTTTTAATTTTTTAAGGAATTTTCACTTGGAAATAATATGGTTTCATGATTTAGTCAAGTAAACTAACTTGTGCAACTCAACTATGAAAATTTGGAACTGTACATGTCTGTAACAGTTTAACATCGGACAGTGTATTAATTTGGGGGCCATTTGGGCTTGAATAACAACTCAGGAAGAATGCTTATTTCCTTAGCACATACTCATAAGTTTTTTCATGTGTTTGGAGTTCATTTTAATAAAAATTTGTGTAATCTAGAGTGGAATACGTTAAGTGTATGTGGTAATAAAGGAAAGGGAAACCATGATAGGATACTGTATATAAAAAATGGTAGGTTAGTATGCAGATTAAGATAGTTTACAAATAATACCTATAGAAAAGTCTTAATATATATTAAATGATAATGAATTATAAATGAAATTACATAAAATTTGACCAGATTAACTGCATTTAATTATAAATATTAATAATATAACTATGAAGAAGTTTTGAAGATTGCTAAATATGGTTCCTATTAAACCTTACATGCCCAGAAAAATTTGTGTACAGGCTCCAAATTGTTAAAAGTAAGTTTTATCATGAAAAAATAAAGCCTTTCAGTGTCTTCACCTTTCTTGAATTATTCCTTTAAGTTATTTTTAGTACATATGATTAATTAATATTTAGTGTGTGAAGTTCTTTATTTCATCAAAAAAATGTAAGGAAAGTGAACAAAATCATAAGTATTTTTCAGTATCCCAAATACTTGAATTGCCTTGTTGTTCTAAAAATTTTGACTAATTTGTCTCCTGCTATTCTGATTGGATTAAACTGATTGGAATAGTCAGCTAGATTTCAAAGGCTGCCATTATTCTGTCTCTCTGTTTTGTAGGCTGTGTGGATGACACTGTAACAGTGCTGGCTGAAGAGCACGGCTGTCTGGACATTCTGCAGGTTTGCTGTAAACCTGTCTCACCCTGTTTATGCTCCTCTGACTGAATACTTGCGCCTGGCCCATTCAGAGGGAACAAAAATACTAGTGTTTTCTCCTGGCTTTGCAGGCTGGCAGCCAGGATCCAGGTGCTTTCAGGTGCATTTGTTTGGTGTGGCTGCAGGAGCAGAGCGGTGGAAGGCTGTTCAGGAGGGAAGGAGCTGGGGCCATGCTGAGTGAGCTTGCTGCTTTTCTCAGGGCTCCATCACTCCCCACCCACTACAACCTCCACCTCTTACCCCAGCCCTTCAGGTGAAGACTACACCCGAATCGGGGAGAGACAGTCAGACCACAGCAATATGTCAGTGGTGTTTCTTAAAATTTTACACTTGGGATCCAACAGCAAGCTATTTAAACTATGTGTAGTTTTCTTTACACAGAGTGACAAAAATATAAGTTGTATAAAAACCAAATACTGCAAAGGATTTTTTAATCTTCTAGACAAATATTTGAGTAATATATATTTATAAAATGGATCATGTTAAATAATAATTTTTTCTGTATTTACCAGGAGCTTCCTGAAAATATGATAGATCTTTTAAAGAAGTGCCTGACCTTCCACCCTTCTAAGAGGTTGGTATTATTAAAACTCTGAGATTACACTGATGTCCTTCACACATATGCAGTTGATTTTTTCCCTTGTTGTTATACTAACAGATTATGCTTACATGTGTAGTAGTACTTAATTCTGATCAGTATCTTAAATCTGAGTGATTGAAGGGTTGAAATTTTGTTAATAAAATAAAAGATAATGTTAAACCATAGTCAGAAAACTAACATGTCAAAAGAAGTTAGTAGCTCATTTCCTAGCCTCCAAGTACAAAATCAGCTAAACTGTGGAATATTGTTATTTCTAGACCCATGATATCAGAGAAATGAGAGCAAAACTTGGCGTTACGTACTATAGCAATGAGTTTGGCTACATGTTGAGATAGCTAATGATTGCTTATGATATAAAATGGATTTCAAAGTTTTATTTATTTTCATTTGATTATGTCACTCTTAAGTTATATAAGAATTCCAGAAGTATATAATGTTTTGGTTTTTTTGTTTTGTTTTGTTTTTTTGGTACCAGGGATCGAACTCAGGACCTTGCACTTGCGAGGCAAGCGGTGGAACCATTGAGCTAAATCCCCGGCTCTGAAGTATATAGTGTTTGAGATAATGTAGTATAATTGTCTTTAAGGGAATAACTTCATCAAGAAATGTTGAGGACAGAGGAAATGGTATTAGAGAAGAGTTTTGGGTGAATATGCCACATTAAGATAAAAGGGTAGGAAGCAAATTTAAAAAGTATTAGATTACATACTTTTTAAGACATTCAGTAAAAGCAGGTATGTGCAAGTTAGGCTAAAAGTAAAACATGCAAAATCTCTTGTAGAATGATTTCTGATCATAAGCTACAGAGAGTCCAACAAAATTAAAAGTGTTCACCGTCATTTGGTCATTATATAAAGGTGTACTCAAATCTTTTGCTCGGACTTTCTTTCCTAATACAGATACTAAAAAGTTCCAGAGTTTTATTGCTTTTTTTTTCCATTTTTATTAGTACAAGTTTGTGGTTTATATGGTTACATTCAGCATGAGGAGTTGGTACATGCCCATGACATATTTTAATTCTTAATCCTCGTCTCCACCCCTGCCGACCTCTGGGTTCCTTCCTATTGGCTCAGTACCTTTTGTCTCTATTTCCTGTTATCTGTTTTTATTTTGCTCTTTAAATTACTTTTCTTACCTTAGTAGTAGGTTTATAAACTAAAGTTGAGGAGTGCTGTGTTTTCTGTGCTAATGAGATGCTTAGGATTTTTACTATCCTCTTGGAGGTGTGTCATTTTTCTCAGAAATATTTTATAACTTGTACTCATGCTGTGTATTTTAAATTATTTCTCAAGGCCAACCCCAGAGGAATTAATGAAGGACGATGTGTTCAGCGAAGTGTCACCTTTATATACCCACTTCACCAAACCTACTGGTCTCTTTTCGTCTTCTCTGAGATGTGCCGACCTAACCCTACCCGAGGATGTCAGTCAGTTGTGTAAAGGTAATGAAAGACAAACATTGGGAAGTTATGTTAGCCCTGCTTCCACAGGGAGTTCCCTCCTCTTAGTTTTACTTTTGAATTGGTCGACAGTCGATTTACATTAGTGGGAATTTTATGGAAAATTATTTAAGAATTAAGAGATGATTCTAGAAATGCTTAAAAGCAAACTTGCCTCAAATTTTAAACCTTTAAATTTAAGTTGTTAATGCTCTATAAAAATTTATTATAAATGATTTCTCAAAATCATATTATTGATAGGATATCCATACCATTATATTCTACCGTCAGAGACAATAAGTTTTCATTCTTGTGTGAAGATTACAACCCTCAGAATGTGTGTTTTAGTGACATCTCTAAGTTGCTCTCATACTGAAGTTATCATGACATAAGTCACGACAGAAAATATTTACTAAATACTCATAAAATTAAATATTTATTGAGTTCCTACTATATACCACATATTGAATCCTTAAGATCTGCATGAGAAGGGAAGGCAGACATTTAGTTACATAATTATTATTTTAAAAATAGGTCAGTAGGACCACAGCACAGTGGAAACAGCTGAAGCACTCCTAATTCTGCCTGCGACACCAACAAACACTTCTTAGAGAGGCAGCCATGCCTTCAGATACATGGGGTATATGGGCAGTGTTGTTGGCCCACTCAAGTGCTTTTTTCTGCCCTTATTCCTTTCCCAGTATAGAGAATAAAAGTTCCAGATTTTCCTTTTCCTAGATTCTCTTGCTGTAGTAGGAAGTAGGCTAGTGTGCTAAAGTTGACTGATGAAATCTAAATGGAAGGCCACTTGGCAGGAAACTTTTCTCTGTTGACGAGAAAGGCACTGCAATATGTACCAGTTCACCTTCTCTTTTGGATGCAGGAAATGGATCTAGAAGTTTAACAGACTCAGGCCCTAAATAGTTGTCATTTCATAAGCCACTTTTACTAGGACATCATTTTTCAGCCGGGAACATTCGGATAACACAAAACTAATCAGAATCTGCCAGTGGTGGCTCACTGTGACAGAAAATGTGTAGCTCCAGCTCTGTCTGGCCATCCTGTCCTACCTAAGGATGGGAGGCATGGGCTCCCCACATTACAGAGCCCTGATCACATGACTGTGGGATGCTTTTCCTTTCCTGTGCTGAATTACCACGGAAAGCTGGGCAGGCTGGAGTTGAGGACTTTGCTTCCCCCAGTCGGTTGTGCTCGGACCAACCAGCTTCTCCTGAGGAGGCCTTGTGAAGAATGGGGTGCTCTGTATTTCCAAATGATTCCACTTCCTCCTTCCTCTGCCAGGAGCACCAGGACATTTTCCTGCAGTGCTTACTGTGAGAAACTGGTCCAACTCCTAGAGGCAACTTCACAGAGGGGTGGGGGTCCTGCAGTGACTGGGTCCCCTGAAGTTTTCACTTAGGTCTTGGACACACTGAGCCCCAGCAGTTTGTCAATTACAGTTCAGGTTTCCCACCCTGACTGGTTCCTGAGGTATTTTCTGCTCCAGTGAGCTGTGACTCCCTGTGTTCTGTTGTCCTTCTTTATAGTCCTGGGGGCAGTAGGTCTCCCAGTGTCCTTACCTCCCTTCCAGATTGAAGCAGAGATGTTGGTCTGTTCAGCTTTTTCCTTGCTAGGTGAAGTGGCAACTTCCAGGCTTCTTCCCTACATACACAATTGTAACCAGACATTTGTTCTTTGGGTTTTTACTTTTTTCAGAATGTCAGCTATTATTGCCTGTTGAATTTTAATTAAAAACAGAAATTGTGATTACTAATTCTTTTTAATTTGCCATTAATAGATACAGACAGTGATTACCTGGCAGAAAGATCCATTGAAGAAGTTTATTACCTTTGGTGTTTGGCTGGCGGTGACTTGGAGAAAGAGCTTGTTAATAAGGAAATCATTCGATCCAAACCCCCTATCTGCACCCTTCCCAAGTAAGGAAAGAAAACGTCTCTTGGAAATGGGTGGGGTGACCTGGTAATAACATTAAAAAACAGTTTGATGTCATTGTCCTTTGGTAGACATGCCAAGAAAGTGATTATGGAAGCAATTGAAAGTCAACACTTTGTTTAATTGGCCTTAGTTTCCCATTGCACAGTTCCCATCAATATTTTTTATCATTTTAAATAAATAATTGTCTTTTAATACCTTGCTTTATGATCTACTTGAAGTAGAGTTAGTATTAAGAACATCGTTCTGTAATTGATACTAGTGAAAAATGTATTGATGAAAACAATACTTGAGAAATTAATATAATAAACTAGCCTAGGGTGGCCGATTATGAAGAACTGTGGGTTTTTTCCAAATATATTTATAGCTATAAATGAACTGTCCCCGCTACGTGTACTGGAGATCATCACTCTGAATACTCACAATGGAGAAAAATCTGCAAAACACCTGTTATAAATTAGGCCAGAAGTTAAATAACTGAAGCCCTGAGAACCAGTGTTGTCTTTATCATAAATCTTTAGTTACATTTATTCACGAAATATGAATGTGAATTTATGGAGCTTCTACCAAGCTTTAAAGTTTTAATTTTAGATTGAGGGACAGATTTGATCATTGTGGGTAATTGTAGAAACCATCTACTCATCATTTGCTCATCGTTAATTTTTTAAGAGTTTAAACTGTTGTTAATTAAGAGATTCCCTTAAGGCCCTGGTAATTCTTGCTTGTGTGATTGAACATTTTTAAAAGCAATTCATAGATCTGAAAACATTTTACAAATCAAGGATTTTGACCAGTTCATACTTACCCCATAGTTAGTCTAAATTTCATTTGTTAAATTTTTAGATTTGAATAGGCCGTTAGCGTTCTACTTTTTTCCCTATAGATACTAACTTCAGTCATACCAATAATCTGCTGAATTATTCAGCAATAGGATGATAGAAATTCCAAGAAAAATTTGTCTGAAGGAAAAATACATTCTTAAAAGTAATTCTCTAAAATTCTGGTCAGGTTGCATGCCTTTGTTGTCCAATACAGCACTTTTCCCACGGAGGTTGCCATGTGCTGTTTCTTCTTCCCTTTCTCACTTTTTACCAATCCATACTTTCTCAGGAGCACATTAGAATAGTGCCCACAGTGTTACCTTGAGCTTATATAAACGAAGAGTTGTGACATCCTGCATGACTGAAATGCTTTGTACATGTATGCTGTATTCCTACCAGCCCAAGAGATCTAAAAGTAGGACTTGTTTGGGGAGATCTCAGCCAACAGTCATGTTGTTTTAAATTAACTGCCCACTCTAAAATTTACTTAGTCTTGATGAAGAGATTATGACTTAGGAAAATAGGCTCCATGTAATAATTTTTTTTAAATCTCTTTCAGTTTTGTTTTTGAAGATGGTGAAAGCTTCGGACAAGGTCGAGATAGAAGCTCACTTTTAGATGATACCACTGTGACGTTGTCATTATGCCAACTAAGAAATGTAAGAACATTAGTTTGCTAATTTGCTTCCAAATTTTTAAAGTTAAAACCTTACAGGCACGTATGCAGCCAGTGTTCCTCCCTGATTTCATAGAATGATGTGCGAGCCTCTGTGACGTGCCTGCCACAGGATGGACTCACAGGAAGGCAGCACCTGTACAACCTCAGAGTTTCTGTGTCAGATTGTTCACAGAAATTATTTTATCGGGCCAGGGATGTAGCTCAGTGGCACTGCCTGCGTCATAAGCAAGTGCAAGGTCCTGAGTTTGATCCCTGGTACCAAAAATAAAAAGTAATCTATAGATAAATAATTTTATCAGTTTATCTTTTCACCATCATTGGATACGTGTTCTGATTTCTCCACTTAAGTGATAATGCTTGGCATTATCAAATTTAGAAAATAATTTTGTTCCTCTATTGTTATAAAATGGGATTCTGCTGTCATACTAATCCCTACTTTAGTGTAGTTGACTCTTTTTATGAATTTGCTTACCTATTCTGTACACTACTAGTTTTCATTTCTGTCAGGATTTCTGAGTGATTTCTCACTGATTTGGCATCAATGCTATGCTAGTCACATAACATGAATATGAGAGTGTTGCCTTCATTCTACTTTCTGAAAAACTTTATGTACAGGATTACATATATCTATTTCTTGAATGTTTCATGTAAAACCCTATTTTGATGCATCTTTTCTACCCTCTGGATTTGTAATCATTGTTTCAATGTATTAAATAGTTATGAGTCTATTCAGGTTTTCTATTTTATTTTCAGTCACTTTTTAATGTTACATGTTTTAGAGCCTTTAAAAACAGATGAAGAAAAGCATCTAGTTTTGATCATTATATTAGCTTTATGTTTTTAGAGATGTTCTTTATCAGGATAAGGAAGTTCCCCTCTGTTTTTAGTTTGCTAAGAGTTTTGTCAAGAATGGGTATTGAATTTTGTCAAAAGTTTTTCTTTCTTTTTTTTTTTTTTTTTTTTTTTTGTACCAGGTATTGAACTCAGGACCTTGAGCTTGCTAGGCAGGCGCCGGATCCACTGAGCTAAATCCGGTCCTCAAATGCTAATATTTTTGTTGAGAATTTGTGCATCTGTACTCATGAAAGATATTGATCTGCAGTTTTCCTTTCTTGTAATGTTTTTGTCACCTTTGGTATTAGGGTAATGCTGCCCTCAATGAGGTAGAAGTATTTCCTCTGCTTCTGTTTTTTGGAAAAGGTCATTGTAATTTCTTTTCTAAATGTTGGGTATTATTCACTAGTGAGCTCAATCTGGACCTGAAGTCTTTCATTTAGGAAGATTATTCATGATTGATTCAACTTCTTTAATAATATTCAGATTATCTGCCTCTCCTTGTGTGAGATATTGTAGATTGATATGTATCATAAGTGCCCTCATCAGAGATCTGCCTTATTTTAAATAAATATAACCATTCCAGTTCTCTTTTAATTATTGTTAGTGTATCATATCTTTCTCCATTCCTTTACTTTTAATCTTTCTGTTTCTTTAGGTTTAAAGTAAGTTCGTTATAGACACATATAATTGGGTCTGGTATTTGTATCCATACTGATAGTCTCAGTCTTTTAATTGCTTTATTAGGTTTAAAATGAGTTCATTATAGACACATATAATTGGGTCTGGTATTTGTAACCATACTGATAATCTCAGTCTTTTAATTGCTTTATTTGGACCATGCATATTAAAGTGATTATTAATTGATATGTACCATCTATAAACTGTATACTCTCCATTACCCTTTACTGTTGCTGCTGCCACTTCACCTTTTACTCTTTTTCCGCTTTCTCTGGTTTTAATTGAGCATTTTACATGGTTCCACTTTCTCTGCTTTCTTAGAATATTTTGCACATTTCTTAAAATTGCTTAGAGTTTGCCATAGAGTTTGGAATGTACATTTACAACTAATACAAGACAAAAGCTTATTTTTAGATTCTGCTTAATACTTTTCTTGATGATCTTTATAAATTTATAATTTTTACATTATTTTTCCTTTTAGATACAGTTCAGTGTTGCTATCTAAGATGGCAATACCTAAATATTTTCTCTTTAAATTCACAGAGATTAAAAGATGTTGGTGGAGAAGCATTTTATCCATTACTTGAAGATGAGTGAGTATATAGAGTCTCATTTTGCATTTATTCTGTTTATATTAGACTGGTAAGAAGTTGGTACATTTTCCACTGAGAGTGCTTTCTAAACAGAACATTTGAAAGTGGTGTTTTGACTTATTAGAATTTTATTCCTTTTGTCAGTATTGTTGCTTTTGTTCCTCTTTTACAGCCAGTCTAATATACCTCACTCGAACAGCAATAATGAATTGTCCGCAGCTGCCACGCTCCCTTTGATCATCAGAGAGAGGGACACCGAGTATCAGCTCAACAGAATCGTGCTCTTTGACAGGCTGCTCAAGGTAGGGATCTAGCGGCACAGTGCTAACAAGAGCCCGATGCTGACAAGTTTCCCGCTGTTCTTTCTTAGGGACTCTCAGTGTCATAAGAAGACTAATCCTTGTTACTTATCTTTTCAGATTAACTTTCTTTTGTTATAAAAATGATACAAGTTCATAGTAAATAAAGTTAAAAAATAAAAACAAGATGTGAGAATATAGTAGAAAAAGGATTAATATTTCTTTTTAAATAGAGTTAAAAACTAATAGAAAAAGTTCCAATATTGAAATGGTATACAGATAAATGGAAAAGAACATGATATAAATACAATCAGTCAGTAAATATTGTGTTGTGGTACATTTCTTTGTACCTAGTTTACTCAGGACTTCTGTCATGAAAAGATGTTAAACTATCACATGTTTTTCCTGCATATATTGAGACGATCATGTGATTTATGTCCGTTGTTCTTTTTATATGCTATATCCCATTTATTTCTGTATTTTGAACCATCCTTACATCCCTAAGATGAATCCCACTAGATCGTGGAGAAACTTTATAATTTGCTGTTGGAATTGATTTGCCTATATTTTGCTGAAGAGTTTTGCATCTTTGCATTTCACTTCAGGTATATGGACTTGTAGTTTTATTTTTTTGTTGTATCCTTGTCTAATTTTGGTCTCAGGGTAATGATGTCATTATAAAATTTGTTTGAAAGATTTCTTTCACTTCATTTTTTTAAGAGTAATTTGAGAAGAGTTGGTATTAGTTCCTTAAATGATCAAACATCTGATCTTGAGCTTTAACATTGATGAGGGGCTTTTTTATCATTGACTCAGTCTTGTTAACTTGTCATTGGTCTGTTGAAATTTTCTGTTGTTTCCTGATCCAGTCTTGGGAAGGGTATGTGACCAGGAATGTATTCATTTCTTTTCTTTTTTTTTTTTTTTTTGGTACCGGGGATTGAACTCGGGTCCTTGCGATTGCGCAGCAGTTGGCGAAACCACTGAGCTAAATCCCCGGCCCTGTATTCATTTCTTATAGGCTATCAGATTTTTTTGGAGTATACGTGTTCCATAATACTTTCTACTGGTGTTTGGTATTTCTGTAGTGTCAGCTATAATGTCTACATTTTCCTCTGTGATTTTAAGTCCTTTCTCTTTTTTTCTTAGTATACTGAAGGGTTTGTCAATTTTCTTTAAAAACTAAATTTTCATTTCATTAATCTTTCATATTTTTGTTTTAGTCTCTATTTCATTTCTGCTTTGACTTTTGTTATTTATTCTAAATTTGGGTTTAGTTTGTTCTTGTTTCTCTAGTTCCTTGAAATACAATGATAAATTGTCTGACATGTTTCTGTTTGTTTGATATACTCACAGATTGCAGTAAATTTCTCATAGTATTGCTTTTACTATATCTATGGATCTTATTAGGTTGTTTCCATTATCATTCATTTCAAAAATTTTAAAATTTCTCTTTAATTTCTTCATTCCTTGGTTGGTTGTTGAAGTATGTTGTTTAATTTCTATGTATCTGTATACTTTCTGAAGTTTTTGAACTTGTTGATTAGTTTTATTGCATTATGGTTGGGAAAAGTACTTGATATAGTTTAAATTTTTTGAAAATATTTTCATTCTTTTTTATATCATAGGCTTACCCGTATAAAAAAAATCAAATCTGGAAAGAAGCAAGAGTTGACATTCCACCTCTTATGAGAGGTCTAACCTGGGCTGCTCTTCTGGGAGTTGAGGTAAGAAAGAGAAGAAGAGATTAGAAGTTGATAAATAAAAGGGGTGATCAAAAATGTGCTGAATGTTTAAATTTCTTTTTAACATTTATTACACTAAAAGACACATTGCCAAGAACTATAGGATAAGTGTATTAAAAGCAAGATTAGTGGGAATGTATCTTTTAGTGTAATACATTTTTATTTAAACATTCACCATATTTTTGATCACTCATTGATCAGACATTTACTGCAATTTCTGTCAAAAAAATTGATGTTTCCTTATCTGCTTTATTCACTATATTTGGCACTGTGGGATTTCTGGCTCTTCCCCCAAATCAAAATGACCATGAAAGATAAATATTTAGAATAGATTTAGAACTTTGAGGCAGCCACAACAGTGCAACTAAAAATGATCACAAAGGACTCCAGAGCTGCTGCAGACAGTGGCAAGAATGATGGGGTGAGCGCGTTTGACATGAGGGGAAGGGGAGGGTCTTGGTGGGGATTAATGACATCGTGGCTTTTATGGACATCAAGTTTTTAAAATTTAAACATTTAGGAGCCACGGATTTAGCTCAGTGGTTTCAACACCTGCTGCACAACCGCAAGGACCCGAGTTCAATCTCCGGTCCCAAAACAACAAAAACATTTAAACATTTACTATATTTGTGGGGGTTTTTTTGTTTTCTTTTGGGACCGGGGATCGAACTCAGGACCTTGCACTTGTGAGGCAGGCACAGTGCCACTGAGCTAAATCCCTGGCCCTGTATTTGTGATTTTTACAAAAAGGATAAAACGGATAGCATTTTCTGTATATTTCTGTATATTTTATGTTAGAAAATTATGTAATAAAATATGAGCATGAGAAAGTTTATAAATTTAAGTGGAAGAAATACATGCAAGGAATAGAATAGAAAAATTTAATTGAAGATTTATGCTGTTTAATATTTTAATGGTATTCATAAAAAATGTCTTGATGATTAGATTTAAAATCAGATTATTAGTGTCCATCAGTTATAGGCAGGAAGTTTTGCTTATAGATGATACTCTTTTTTTGAATGTGACTTTTTATTTATAAACAGTTAACAAGTCTTTCAGTCCCGTCTATGCTTCAAAATCCTTAATATAATTTTTTGTCTTTTGGCACATTTACTCCACCTGGATCATGCTGCGAGAAACATAGCTACTTTGTCTTCTTCAGCATTTTATCCATGGTCCTGAGGAAAGGAGAGTTGCCACAAAATTATTAGGGTGGCTTGTTATACTTACAAGGACTCTGGTGATGGAAACCATGATAATGGGCCAGATCCTGCAGATTTGTCATTTCTTACTGATCTCTTTTCATCCTCTCTTCCTGTATTCTTCATAGGTATCTTCCACCCTTTTAGTTCCTCCAACTATTTTTAATCCTTTTCCTCTTTTGGAAGAATTTATTTTCTTCATTCTTGATTGTGTCGCTGAATGTCTAGAAATACGATTAGTGCGCAAGCAGACTTCTACTGTCAGGCTGTCCAAACCTCTCACTTTTCAGCTTTCCCAAAGAAGTTGATACAGCAAATAATGTCACCAAATTCCTGGCTCTTTCTCTATCGTGGTGGTAAGCTAGAATTCCGAATAAGAATGTTCTCATGCTTGGCTCTATAGAACATGACCAAAATCTTAAGCAGTTTTTTCCCATATTCCTTCTGTTAACAGTATAACCAAAAAATATAACTGACCCTCTCAGTTCCAAATTGTTGTGTATGATATCCGCTCTGTCCCAAACTTCTGTTACCTGATAATGAACCACTACTCCTTGAACAGTTTTATTTTATTTTTGTTTTATGACCTTTATCAGAAAATTTTCTTAGAGGATGACTCTCCCCCACCAAAACCTTTTCTTGATGAGATGTGTTATTTATGAGTTAACAGTGCACCGAGAACAAAATTACATTGTATTTTGTGCCCTGTGTAAGTGACTCACGCAGGACCCTACCTCTTGGTGTGGATAAATTAAGGACTGCTTCACCGACAGGGCAGATTGTCACTTACCACAGACTGCCATCACACATTATCAAAAGGCCGAGAATGTCTCTTAGTTGGAGTGTAACCTGGGTTTGAATGTACCTGTCTGTAGTTAGGTAGGTTTTCTAAGAAATTGGTTTTTCCTCTTGAACATTACTAATCCACAAATCTGAAATGGTCCAAAAATCTGATAATTTTTGAGTGCTGACATCACAGTTAAAATGTTTCCAATTTTGGATTTTAGGTTTTCAGATCAGAAAAACTCAATCAGTAAATTTGCGGATACGGTACTGTATCTGTGTCTGAGATATGTCTGTTCTCACATATTCAGAATAGGAGATATTCAATAGGTAATATCAGTTTTATTAAACATAATGAATTGACATTTTCTTTTATTTTTTGCAGGGAGCTATTCATGCTAAGTATGATGCCATTGATAAGGACACTCCAATTCCTACAGATAGACAAGTAAGATTTTCTTAAGCACCTGCCTAGTTCTGCCAAATATTTAAATTTTAGAAGACCATGAAGAATGTTCTTTTCTTTCATTATGAATACTCAGCTTCTGCCAAATATTATGGCGTTTGAAAATATTCATAAATTACTGAGTTAGAATAACACTTTAAAGGACTTTAGGTTGAGTAATCTTTTTTAAAAAATTGTACTTGTCACCTGAAAAATTTGCCTTTTATTTAGACCAAGTTATACCATATTTTTGAACACTGTATTAATACTGTAAGTTGTATTAATATCTACTTTTTCAAAAGAAATGTCTGTTTGCCTCGTTTAATTATGCATACAACTTCTTTGGTGTTCCAGAAGATGAATAAAACATTCAAAAACTTTAGACACTAGGGTCATGAAGGTGGGACCCCCTGGAGGTCACATTATAATCTGTGCTCTTGTTATTTAGGGAATGCAATTTCTGGGTTTATTAGGGGTCATTTTGTCATGGCTGTGTTACTACTTTGCGATTTCACAGATTGAAGTGGATATCCCTCGCTGTCATCAGTATGATGAACTTTTATCATCACCTGAAGGTCATGCCAAATTTAGGCGTGTATTGAAGGCTTGGGTAGTATCTCATCCTGATCTTGTGTATTGGCAAGGTACCTTTTTTGTTGTTGTTATTAAGACTTTTCTTGGAGTATGAGGGGCTTAGTATGTGACTAGCAATTTATAAATTTAAACTATCAACCATTCTTTGTTTTGGGCAAAGTCAACACTAAAGCTCTGATTAATTTTTGAAAGATTTATGAGAACTGTCTTTTTAAAAACTTTGTCTAAATGCCTAGCAGATATCATTTAATAAGTGATAGTTAAAATTAAACAACTTGTAAGCATATGACTGGAAAAGCAGGATGCTTGGTACTTTTTTAAAGTTTGTGTATACATTTTTAAGTTAATGCAAACAATAAAATAAGTTATGCCATAATTTGCAGCTATTTGAGATTTTTACTATTTAAAGATTTCTCACTTACGCTGCTCATAGTTTATTAGGAATCAAGCATAGGATATCACCCTAACATGCACATTTTTTTAAAAATTCTTTTATTGGTACATTGTAGGTATACAACACAATTACATTTCTCATTGGGAATTGTACCTTTACATAATGCATCTTGGTTCTTATTTTTTCCCCATTCCTAGCCCTCCCTTCACCCCCTCCACCCTTCCCTACATGCACATTTTATTATCTTTTAAAATATTTTTATTAGCACACGTTTGCAGTGCATAATGATTACATTCATGGTAGGGTGTTGGTACATGTACATAACACATCTTATTGGCTCTTTTTACCCTCTAGTGTATTAATGCTTCAGATCTTTGATATTTTAGCTTTGTAATTTTTTTGAGAGAGGGGTGGGGATGCTGACCTTCAAACCCAGGGCCTCATATACAAGGCGTGCACTCATGCACTCCACCAGTGAGCTACATCCTCAGCCCAAATGTCAGTTTTCTTTTCTCTCTCTCTCTTTTTTTTTTTTTTTGGTACCAGGGATCAAACTCGGGTCCTCACGCTTGCACAGCAAGCGGCGAAACCACTGAGCTAAATCCCTGGCCTTTTTCTTTCTTTTTTTTTTGTGTCAGTTTTATTTTGATGGTCACCAACAAGTTCATGAATGAGCAACCCATTCCACTCAGTCCTATTTTAGAATGTTCTGCTCTAAGCAGTTGGTTTTATATTTAAATTTTCTCTCTCTTAGTGGCCATACTTAGTAAAACGAAGGTATTATTTTTCCCAGCTTAATACATTTCTCAGATGTTCTATATCCTCACACAGTGATGGTAGATTTAGGTGTTCTTTTGATATGACAACGTATGAACATCATTATCATTAAAATAAATAGATCGATTCGTGTATTTTACTTCACAATTTAAAGGATTTTCTTCATAATCCCAAAGAGAAAGAACTTATAAGGCAAATAGCCGTGTCCTAGAAAGAGAACATGCCTGAAGATGTTAAGTAATTTGCCTCAGTTACGGTCCGATGCGACCATGTTTCCAGTCTTCTCACATTTTTACATTGTTTTTATTGCTGTATTGCTCTTTACCTTATAAAAATATTGGTAATAACAACTGATCTGTTTTGGACACAAGCTGTGTTCAGACACTACTATTTGTTCCTCATAGTAACTTATGAAAACGTGCATGTCTTGGTGGCTAGCGCTTGCGATGCCTTTCCTTTTGGAGGCAGTGCAGACAGCTGAGTGTATATCTACAGTCCTGCTGGGTTGCCTTTGTTTGACTCCTTTGTCCAACTTCTCTGCATCAGGTCTTGACTCACTTTGTGCTCCATTCCTGTACCTAAACTTCAATAATGAAGGTAAGCCTCCTTATCATTTAAATAATAATTCTAAAATAATTTCTTTAGTGTAAAATATTTGAGTTTAAGGTTTTTACACTCTACCTTGTAGATACTGTAAAATTTTATGAGATAGTCTGTTACATTCATCTTTGAGGATAGGAAGGATTAATTTATTCCTGGAGAGTTTCCATTATGACAAGGCTCTAACTAGAGATTTGGTGGCAGTTACACTGATTCTTCTAAGTTCATTTACCTACTTTCGTGGCCATTTTTGTGAAGGCTAAGAGAAGATTCTGACTTCCTTAGAGCATAGTTTTAAGGTACTGTACTTTCTAAATAATTTGCAAAGAAATCAGTGTTGGTTGCATTTCTCCAAATCTTGCATCTCCAACACTTACCAACTCAAATGTACTTCTTTGATGAAGATTTCTTATTCTCCTTTTTGAATGTATACAACACTTTGTATTTCAGGAAACCTATCTTGTGTCTGTTTTGTATTCTGGTTACATATATGTTAATGTTAAAACTCTTTTTTGACAATTTTTTTTGTTAATGACAGGTTTTGGGGTTTTATGCCTCGGTTACAGTGTCTGTTATAGTGAAATTTAATGCATATTTGTTAAATTCAATTGAGATTCCAAATCTCTATGTCACATAAAGAGCATGTTACTATATATAACATTAAGTAGAGATAGAATAATCCCAAAGAACTAAAACTTTATTGTTTGAATAATGTTTAAAATGTACTATTCATTGATGTACTCATTCATATAAAATTGGGCTTTTGCTGTATTAGACAAAGCAAATATTATTTAGATTGATCCAAGAATAGTAACCAAGAATAGTAATGAGTCTGTATTTGAAAGTACAGGTTATAACTGATATTTCTAAATTCAGAGTTCTTGGACTCTTTTTTCCATCAGCAGTAATTAAGACTATGAGGTTTTATAGTTCATTAATAATGATCATGTTAAGAAATTTTTAAAAATCAATTCAACAAAGGTTTTTATTTTTATAGAATAGTGATTATCACAGTAATTTGAAATCGAAGTTACTAGGATGATTATCTTTTGTTGTCCAAAATATTTTCTGTTTTAAAGAGAAGAAGGGTTGTATTTTTAGGGGGCCTTAATTTTATGTTTCCAGCACTTACCATCATAACTACCGCTTAATAGACTTAATGTGTGCTGAGTTAGTGAGTGAGAGAAAACCCCTACTAAACAATTTTTTGTCTTCTTTTTAGCCCTGGCTTATGCGTGTATGTCTGCTTTTATTCCCAAATACCTGTATAACTTCTTCTTGAAAGACAACTCACATGTAATACAAGGTAAGCACATATTGTTTCTTGTCTTCATACAGGGAAAATACTTATGTCAAAAATAACCAGTACTTAGTTAAATTATGATTTTGACCAAAGGAAATATGCTGATGGTCCATCCCTAAAACTCACGAAGAGATCTGAGAATATATCAAGTCCACCAAGAAGTATGTTCATTTCCTAATGACTGTTTAATGTCTGACGATTTAATTCAAATGCAATCATGGAAATTTTAGAAAATAAGGAGCTGCTGTCTGTCTCTCTGATGATTAAAATTGCCCCCAGAAAGTTGGAGTAAGCCATACAGAATTAGCAAAAAGTTTAAACATTAATTGTGCATTAAGAACACTTCTCATTCATCTCATTCCCAAACCCTGAACACTCCATGTACTCCTTTTACTTCCCTAAGTCACTCTCCTTCAGAGTCCGGGTTATAGCACAACATATTTGTGAATTCATTCAGGCTGACTTCAGCTGCACTTACATTTCTAATACAGTATTCTGGGCTCCATTTTGAAGGTAGTATAACAGAAGTTAATACACATTTTTTCATTAAAGGCTGCAGATTTAAGCTTTCCTACTATTGTGTAGTTCTGGGCAAAAACTTAAGTTCAATAGGTGTTATTTTCCTTACATCTAAAATTTTAAAAGATGAAAAGGATGTATTTGAATCTTTTAGAAATTGACTCCGGGATAGTTCTAAGTGCTTCCTTGAAATAACCTGGAATATAACATAGTGCAGATTTCTTAGTTTCTATCATCTGCCCCACTAAGGAAGCTCATTAACAGACCATGCCCCATTGCACGTGAGAGCCTGTGCCGTGCGACCTTAACTTAGGCCAGTTCTGTAAGCCGTATTTACGTATGTGAAGTAACATATGATCCACAATAACATGTAGAATGTGTCTCTGTATGCGTGTGAACACGCAGCTGCAACATGTAAAGCCAGCTATCAGTATTTGGCAGGACATATGGAAAATGTTTTCATAGTAAATTAGGTCTCTCAGTAGATCATTAATTAATCGTGTATATCCACATAGTAATTAATTTTATCAGGCTCGAGTAAGGATGATACTTAATAAATGGGAGCATAGCTGTGGAGAACTACTTGAGGCATGAATTTGTAATTTAGAAGTTAGAAGTTAGTAATTATATACTTATCAGTATACAGTTGGGTGCTTATAATGGCTGATGTTACAAACCTTTGGCTTCCATGTAAACCAGCTATAAACATACCATTGCTCATTGGAAGGAGAGAAAAAACTTAAGCCCCAAAATTCCCCAGAGCCTTCATGCTTACACTGATCTTCACTTTGATTTGTGACTCTGAAAGCTGACAGAATGACCTTAGCTGCATGCCAGTCTTTATCCAGCATGAGCAGGGCTCCCACAGGTTAGGAAGGGGCTGGCCTTTATTGGTGGATTGAAGACAGCACCTCTTTATTGCTTCCTTTTGGCCTGATGTTCTTCTCTGTAAAGTATGTGACATTGCTCATAGACAAATAACTATAAAATGCATATGAAGCAAAGTTTTAGTTGAGAAAAATAGGTATATCGTGTACCGACATCCCATGAATATATTCATTATGTATCACAAATACGTGCTAATACATAATAAAATAAAACACTTTAAAAATTTTAACACCCTCCCACCCCAAAATAAGATAAGATGAGCCTATTTGTAGTGATGGATTATAAAAATTTAGTACTTTTTCTTGGAATATTATAAATAATAAACTTGCGCCAGGTGTGGTGGTGCACACCTGTAATTCTAGCACTTGAGAGGCTGAGGCAAGAAGATCCCCATGAGTTCAAGGCCAGTTTGTGCTACATAGAGTTCAAGGGCAGCCGAAACTATATAGCGCAACCTTGTCTCCAAGAGAGAAAAAAAAGAAAAATAAACTTATAAACCAAAAAGGCAAGGCAAAAATTATTTTAGAGGTTATTTTCATCAAATAATTGACTTGAAAAATAGATACTAGTTTTTAAAGGAGAGTTGGGATTATTAAGTGAAAACTTTTATTGAGTTGTGTTTTTAATTTCAAAAAGAAACACTGAAATATGTATTAATTTTGTTTTTATAATGAGTAAAAGTACAGTGGTTACATGCACTAGAGTAGATCATTACCACTATCTTGGTTAGATTAGTACCTAGTGAATAAATTGATAAACCATACTAAGTTATTGGAAGACTGAAAAAAATGAGAATTTACTACTCATATTCCAGTTGAATCCTATGAATTAGGATTGGATTGGGATCAACACAAGGTGTTTTGTTTTTTTTTTTGGTACCGGGGATCGAGCTCAGGTCCTTGTGCTTACAAGGCAGGCGGCAGAACCACTGAGCTAAATCCCTGGCCCAACACAAGATATGTTTAATTGTCTGCTGTGTGCCTACTTTCTGATTAATGTAATGTTAATTCTCACTGCTAAATAAGTCAAATGCAGAGTCTTAGATGAAAATAAATTAAACCTGGAATAGATGCCTAAACCTGTAATATAAACAAACTTGAAACACAACTTGTATTTGTGACTGCTTATAAATGTTTATTTAAAGATCTGTTACACTTTCTGAACATTCACTAATGTGAAATGGATTTAATATTACTAGAGAAAATTTATTTATAGAATTTAATAAGAAAACATTCATTTATACAATTTGTGATTCAAGAAATAAACTGATAGCCCAAAGGCAGGAAAGAAGCTATGGCATAGTTTCTGGCATATTTGTTTAATAATCAGGAGTAAGTGATTGAAGTAGTAGAAAAGAAAATTATTAAGGCATATTTTCTTCATGGAGAAATTAGCTCTGATTGAGTGTAAATTAAACTTTATTTGCATTAAATGTCTTGGGGTTAATTTGTTGGGGCAATTGTCTGAGACTTTGTTGTCCCGCAGAGTATCTGACCGTGTTCTCCCAGATGATTGCGTTCCACGACCCCGAGCTGAGCAATCATCTCAACGAGATTGGCTTCATTCCAGATGTGAGTACTGGGTGCGCTGGGAGCAGCAGGGAGAGAAAGCCGGGTCTGAACAAGTTAGCGCTGCTAATTGCTCTCAGTATTTACGTGGTTACCTTCCAGAGTCTTGCTTTAAGTAAAAGAAAAGGATCATATTTTTCTTAATATGGTCCTGTGAGATTGTTCTGCAAAATTCATTAGTAAGAGTGTCGTATTAAACTATTCTGTAAAGGGTTTCACTCAGATTTTACTATATTCAGGTCTGATTTTGAAGAAATAGAAAATCTATTCTTAGGTGGAATCCTGTGTAGCTTTGCCTGGGTTTTACTTGCTGTATTACCGTGCAGCTTTGCCAGATTTTGGCTGACTTTGGGGCTTCTCTGTAGTTCGTGTCAGGCTCCAAGTCAGGGTTGCCTTGGAAAGGTTCTCCAGGGCGTGGTGTGGCTGTTAACTCATTTGCAGTTTGGGTCTCATTTGGAAGCTGTGGGATGAACATAAATCAAAACATCACTCTGTGTACCCACAGTATATACAATTACTATTTATCAATTAAAGATAGAGTGAAAAAATGAACTACAGGAGTTACATATTTGGGGAAGGGATTGAAGTTGATACAGGTTTAAAGGAATCTTTGAGGTGTTGCGTTTTATACTTTTAATTAATATTGAATGCAAAATGTGAACTAATATTTTTAAAACTTCTTTGTTCTAACGGGTTGTTCCTCCAATCTGTCGATAGTGTAAAAACTGAAGTGGTGAGGCCATTTTAATATCTAATTTTATAGACAGACTTGGTGTTTTCAAGGTAGAGACTGTTGACAGTGAGTAGGGGGTAGGGGTGTGATGAAATGGAGAATTTTTCTAACTTGTTTCTGTCAGTTACGTCTTTTTACTTACATTTCTTTAGTTTGTATATGCAGCATTCTTTCATTTTTTTTCCTTGAATTCATTTAATTTTCCACATCTAAAATAATTGTTGAGGAAACTGTGCCTCTAGCGAGGACACAGGCTAGGATTCATCAGAAGGAAGAGTAGGTACTTTGATGAGACCCTAAACTACACCTGCTGAAGAACTAATCCCATCAAAGTCGGCCTCATTCATCTCCCGTCACTAAAACGCAGGCTTCCATTGCAGGAGGAATTGAGATTTCTGGCTCCTTTCCATTTGCTGTGGGTCACAAAATTGAACACTGAGCACTGCTAAAGCTCAAATAGTTGGGGATCTTGTGCACTGATGTGATGCCTAGATTATGTGTCATGGTAGTTATGTGATTTACATATAAATAGAGTGAGTAATGTGTATTTGGCAAAACTGGGGCCAGAATGATTTTATCATCTTTGTCTTGATGTGTTTCTGCTTCTAAAAGTATAGTAGGTCTTTAAAATAAGAACAGGAAAGAGTGTTTTCTTATTCTTCAGAGAAATGTTTTCCTGAAGTACTAGGAATGGCATGCAAACTATGAAAAAGTGGTCGGGGACCATTAGTAGAAACGATAGGGCTCTACATATTTCAGTACTATACTGTTTCAGCTAAAGACAAAGCTAGCAGATTCAGTGATATACTGGCAAAACCACTGTCATTTAACTATATGATCTGAAAAGATTCTTACATTGCTACTAATTTTCTCCTGTAAAAGTTTGTCATTGTCATTTTTAAAAAATTTATATTCGATTGACCTTACACTAACTGAAAATGTGAAAGGGCAATTTAGAAATATGTGTTTGTTCATTCATTTGGTACTGGCTTTCCCACTGTTACTGTGAACAGCTTTATGAGCTGCAGCGATGGCTCAGTTAGAGAAGTGCTTTATCCAGCAGGTGTGGAGCTCTGGGTTTGCTCTCCAAAACTGCAAGAACAAAATAAATAAAAATAATTTTGAAATTAAAAAGTTTCAGATTTTAATCCCAAGAGGAATCAATTGACAATGAGCTTTTCGTGTTTTATCAAAATACGATTATAAGGAAAATAGACCTTATTCAGAATATTCCATGGAAAGAATCCTCCTAGGCTGTTGGAGTCTCTCTGGAGGATCCTGGGAGAATGTGTTTTCTGAACTGAGAACTGCACCGTGTTTCCAGCGTTAAGCCTAAGGCTTAGGAGTACAGAACAGTCTCTTTCTCATAATAAAGCAAGCTTACCTTTCAGAAAGGGCTCAGACCCTAAAACCAAAAGGCTTTTAACTCTACCAGGAATGGTAAAATAAGATTTTGATAACTTCTTCCTAAAGAAAAAAAAAAATCCACACACAGGTTTTCCTAACAGCTTTTCCGTTCAGTTGAACCCCCAGCTGCACAGTCTGTTTGCAATCTAAGGTTCCCTGAGACTGGTGGAAAGACAAGCAAAAGGAAAAACAGCATACCGTGGCGGGTCTCCGAACTGTGGATTGCAGAATCTCTACTTTTAAAAATTAATGGAGACCCCAAAGAACTTTCTGTTCACATGGATTAAGTGTATCATTATTTACTGAGACCGTTAAAAATATTTACGTACTAATTAACCTGAAAGAAATAACTTACCAGGCAAGGCTGTACATATCTGAAATCCTAGCACTCCGGGAAGCTGTGGCTGTAGGATCCCAAATCTGAGCCTAGCATGGGCGACTTAGCTACTGATTGAGAGCCTGTCTCAATATAAAAAGTAAAAGAGATAGAGATGGGGATGTAAATCAGTGCAGAGGCCCTAGGTTCAATCGTCAGCACCATAAAAATAAATAATAAGTAATAGCTCATTGCATGTTGACCAAAATAACATTTTTCTAATAAATAGCTGTTTTCAAAAAATAGACTGACATGGTTTTATATTTTTCCAATTCTTGAATTAAGATAAAAGAGCTGAATTGTCGTATCTGCTTCTCGATTCGGTCTGTTGCAGTACCTCGTCTCGGTTGAGGTGTATGAAGGCATGCAGTTGGCAAAGGGTCTTTTCAGGCATGGGCAGTTTCTTAGAGCTTGAGTGCAGTGGACAGTCTAATTCTGTCGTGAACTTCCGTGCTTTGTACATTAAATCCACCTGTCCATCTTGTACTTTGTTTTGTTTTGTTTTGTTGGTACCAGGGATCGCACTCAGGACCTTGCGCGTGGGAGGCAGGCGCGGTGCGGCTGAGCTAAGTCCCCGGCCCGCTTCTTGCACTTTGAATGGCTCTTCTGCGCATGCACGATGTTGTGACGGTATACATTGGTTCACAGATCTTCAGCCATGAGCACTTCGTCACATAACATAAAAATCACATTCTGTAAAGTCATCACTGATCTCATCCAAAAAACCCTTACGTATCAGGAAGCTGCCGACTTCAGAGTGGCAAGTGCAAGTGTGTAATGCTCTGATTGTCATCTGTCAGCTAAATCTTTCCTGGAAGTAGCAGGCTCACTTTTTTTATTTTGCAAAACGTTGGCCAAATATCCAATCCTCAGAAGATTATTGTTGCCCCATCATCCTTTCCAGAAAAACCAGGAGTTCTTGGAGAAGGCGCCCGTTCGGCCCCACAGCCCCAGTGAGTGCCCGGCGCTGCTCTCCCTCAGTCGCGGTTCCCTGCTATGCAGAGCAAGCACTTTACACGCCTTCCAGCGCCGTTTCACACACCTGTCCTAAAGACGTTCAATACAGTTAGTCACCTTTACTCCTAACATAAGACGCCCGCTCTGAGACCCTGGACCACTGGCCTGTCGTGTGCCAAGCTCTGCAGCGTACGCGCCTGTGGTGGTGTCCATAGACACAAACGCCCATGCTGTGTAGGAGCAGCGCTCCCTCTCAGTGTACCATGCCCATAGCTGAGGCAGCCCGAGGAGTCCCGAGTGGCCCTGGGTCTGTGCCCACGTCCTAAAAAAGCTTGCGCAGGTCGAGAGGGGAAGTCGGGGCCAGGTCCTGCCTCTTCAGTGTACCACTGGTGTGGCTGTGATCCATTCAGTTCCTCTTACCCACGATTCTCTTTGCTTTACCATAGATATAATGATTTTACTCAGAATTCCTGTGATGACTAAAGCTAATGGGTGTGAACTACTTAAAACACAGGTTTTGCATTTAGGAGAGGATTATACTCAGGTTGTAGTGGACATATTTTTTCTCACTTTTGCTTAACTAGGGAAGTTATGAATTACAAAAGATGTAACCAGTATGCCTTTGGCTGGGGTGGGGTATAGGCATTTATCTTCTTGGTCCATTAGGCCTTTTAAATTATTTTTATATGTTTAAGTAATTTTGTGAATAATTTGCATAAGCAAAGACATCATAAAACATTATTTGAAATGCTTAAAATGAATTTGTGTGACAAACCCAAACTTTTGCTTCATATATTTCTCCTTTGGACAATGTATGGATGTCACATGTGCACTGTGATTTGAACTACTATTCAGTTGTCACGTGTGAACCTGGAACATACCCATCATGTGAATATTGATTGCAGATTTCAAATACATCTCTAAATTGTTTCTATTTCTAGCCTGGTCAAAACAAAATCATCAAAATAAAACATTGAAAGATCTCATACCTTTTCAGAAAATAGCTTCTTTGTTCCCTAATTACAAAACATTTTTATTTCTCAATTTATTAATAGAAGAATGATAAATTAATGCCCTTTTACAAACATTTCTATACCATGTTTCTAATCACTTTGTAAACACCTCTACCTAGACCATTTGTCTACTTAAACTGTATTAAATAAGTTATATTGTGTAAGTATCATAAAAAAGATTCCTCTCATCCTTTTAACAAAATATAGTGACCCAGATTCTTATTGCAAAATGATCTGTGATGAAGTTCTTCCCTTGAATGACCAGCTAAATGAGGATTTCTCATTTTTATTTACTGTTTACTCTCATTCTTGTGCTGTAGAAGTTCATCTAAGATACCATCATTTGAGCGCTCACAGTTTGAAGTCTCACTTACATGACCAGTTTTACCATTTCCCTGGAGTCTAGTGTGTTGCTGTCTCTGCCTTTGTCTTCTGATTGGTCTGGTGCTGCTGAAGCATTTTCCTCTTGTCAGTTTTCTTCACTAATAAGCATGAAAAATGAAAAAATCTGAATTCT